CCTGGCTAATTTTTTAGTATTTTTAGTAGAGACGGGGTTTCACCATGTCAGCCAGAATGGTCTCGATCTCCTGACCTCATGATCCACCCGCCTCGGCCTCCCAAAGTGCTGGGATTACAGGTGTGAGCCACCGTGCCCGGCGAGTGCAGTGTTTTTTATACCTAATCTCAGACGTGACACACCGTCACTTCTGCCGTGTTCTATTGGCCACTCAACCCATCTGTGATACAACATAGGAAGGAACTACACAAGGGTGTGAGTACTAGGAGGTAGGGGACATCATCAAGAGGTCATCACCGAGGCTGATGACCACATTGTCAAAAATGAGAATGCCGGTGGCTCACACCTGTAATCCCAGTGCTTTGGGAGGGCAAGGCAAGCAGATCATGAGGTCAGAAGATAGAAACCATCCTGGTTAACACGGTGAAACCACATCTCTACTAAAAATATAAAAATTAGCCAGGTGTGGTGGCGGGCGCCTGTAGTCCCAGCTACTCAGGAGGCTGAGGCAGGAGAATCGCTTGAACCCAGGAGGCAAAGCTTGCAGTGAGCTGCGATCGCGCCACTGCACTCCAGCCTGGGCGACAGAGACTCCGTCTCAAAAAAAAATAAATGAGGACGCCTTTCCTGAAGCCCCCAGGAGGCTTCCCTTCATGTCTACTGGCTGAAACTGTCACATGTCCATGTCTACACCAGTCAATGATGAGGGATTTGGGACCATTGTTTTTGGTCTCAATCACAATCATGATTCACCCCGCGGCTAAGATCCACCTCTGCTGAAGCACAGGGCGCCATCTAAGAGAAAGATGGCTACCTGAATAGAGATTCTGTTTGGAATGAGGAAGGGGCAATGGGAAAAGTTGTTGAGTGGGCAGCCCACAGTGTCCACGACACTCACCCACTAGACTATAAACTGAACAAGGAGTAGTGTATGTAACAGAGGTTACATCTTTTCTGACTATTGCATCCCCAGTGCATAGCCCACTGCCTGATACAGAGTAGATGCAACAGTATTTGTTGAATGAATAAATGAATGAATTCATGACTAAACTGGAAGACCATAGGGCAGGGGTTCAGGACTAGTATCACTAGCCCGAGGCTTCTTCAGTTCTTAGAACTCAGGAGGCCACCTGCTCCCACCTCCACCACCAGCTCCAAGAACAGGCAGGATTGGCAGAATTATTCTCACTTTATTTCTGGAGACATTTAATCAGATGCAGTAACACTGATTCCAGGCAAGGGCAGGGGGCATGGGTACCCCTGAAGCAACCAGTATCCTGTGGCCCAAGGTGTCCCCCATCCCCAGACCTGGGATCCCCCTCAGTTATAGTTAAATAGAGAGAGGAAGATCTCCCCAGGGGGCTTTGCGGGGAGGGTCTGCCTCCTGCACCCACCCTCTCCACGCAGAGGAGTCTGAGCACAAGCTATTTACAGTATTCACATCCACTGTACCCCACCAAACCAAGGCAAATACTACAGGTGGCCCCTCCCCAAGGGAAGAGGCCAGAGAGGCTGTGAGTGTATGTGTGTGTATGGGGGAGAGGGGATGTCTGCGCGTGCGAGCACACAAATGCACTGAGGGGCCGATCTGGCTCCAGCCAAAGAGACATCAGTCTATAAGGTGCAGATTAAAAACAACAGAGAGGACCCACCCCCAGGGGCCCAGGCCACTTCCATCTTTGCTCTGTCTTTTTCTCCTCCAGACATCCTGGTAGGTGATGCAGAGGAGCCCTCACAGCTGTGCCCGGATCCAAGGCAAACCCTCTTAAAGGACTTCTGGGGAAAGAGGGGAAAGGAAACAGTCACGGCAAACAGCACTCAAACCCAGATAGCTGGGGGTCTTCAAGGCGGAGCAGGAGAGGGGGCCTGGCAGAGCCAGAAGAGAAGGCAGGGCTAGAGAGTACAGGGAAGGCTGCTGGGAGGAATAGAGCTAGGTCCAGGAATCAGGAGACCTACCTGTGACCTGCGGAGACTGCACCACAGCTTTCTTGAGGAAGGCTTCTGCCTCTGCAAAGGGCAGGAGTGCCTCTGGTGTTCGGCTCAGACTCTTGTCCCCAGAGGGTCCCTTGGGGGAGAAGCCATTCTCCTGGTGTGCTGGGAGAGGCTGCAGGCCATTCACCAGGGACCCTGGCAACTCCTTGCTTGGGAGACTGTGGATGCAGAGGCCAAGGCTCAGCAGCTCACCTCCCGGGAAAACCCAGGCCACCCCGCAGCTCCAGCTGCAGTCTGCCTCCCTGCTCAGGGACCCTGGGATTGGAAGCTGGTACCTCCACTGAGGCTCCTGTGGGGTGGGCTCCTCTTTCTGCACAGCCTCCTTCTGCAGCCCTGGGGGCCGAGCCTCCACAGCTTTCACAGGTTCTGTCACAGGGAAAGAGGCGCCATCAGCCAAGGGCTGGCAAGAGAGATGAGGATGGAGGAGGAGGGTGGCAAAGGGAAGGGAGGTGAGGGGAACGGGGGCTTTACCTGGGCTGGAACCGTTGGCGTTGGCCTCCTTGCTGTCCTGCTTCTGCTTTGAAGAGGAAGAGCAGTCAGGCTCAAGGGACAGCCGGTCCCATCCACTTAGGACTGAGTTCTGCCCTCCCCTTGCCCGGGCCGCAGCCGCCTCCCCGACAGCCCCGCTCTCCTTGGCCATAGATGCCTTTCCGCAGCCTCCTTTTCCCACCCCTGCCCCCACGCCCAGCACTGCCCTTCGGGGAAATTCTGACCTTGGTTTCAGCAACTTCTGACTTCCGAGTCCTCTTCATGATCTCCTCCAGACGCTGTTTGGAGGCCGCATATCAGTTAGTCTCGAGCTCCGCCCCTAATCCTAAACCTCCCACCAGCCAGCCCCGGCCTTGTGGTCTTAGGGCCTCCCAGTTCATAGCAGCCCTCTCCAGGACAGGAGCTGGAATCTGCCCCAGCGCTTTTCCGTCCCACCCGCTCTAAGCCCAGGCCCCGCCCACCTGGCCGCCCTGCCCAGGCCCGCCCACAAATCCCCGCCCACGTCCGCACACCTTTCTGCGCTCTTGCCGCTCCTGCTCCTGCTGCTGGAAGTGCTTTTCCCGCTCCAGACGCTGCCGCTCCGCCTCTTCCCGCGACCGAGCTTCGGCCTCCTCTTTCTGCCAAAGACCCCCATGAGCGTGGGGCACCTGACTCCAACCTTCCCGGCCCGCGGCGCCCGCGTCCAGCCGCCTCCCGCCCACCCGCCGGGGGCACCTGCTTCTGCAGCCGCTCCTGCTCCTCCTGCTCGGCCTGCGCCTTCTCTCGTGCCTCCTGCTCCTCCCGCCTCCGGGCCTCCGTCTCCCGCTCCGCCCGGGCCTCGGCCTCCCGTGCCAGCTGCTCCTCTCGCATTCGCCTGGGGGACGGAGCAAACGGCTCAGGCTCGGACTCTTGCTTCTTCTCCAGCGCCCACGAGGGCCCCCTCAGTCCCCGAGGCGCACTCACTTGTCTCTTTCTGCCTGCAGCCTCCGCTCCTGCTCCTCGCGCTCCCGCTGCTCCCGGGCCTGGCGCCGCTTCTCAGCCAGGAGCCGAGTGGCTTCTTCTCGGTCTGTGGTGCCGGCCATTGGTTTGCTAGGGGTCACCGGGGGAGCAGGGGCTGGGGGTGAGGTCAAGACAGCAGCGTCTGGAGGGGGATCCGGGACCAGGCGTCAGTCAGCACACCCACGCAGGCACCGCCAGCATCCCTTCCTGCCGTCAGCTCCCAGCGGCCTGTGTTGTGGGCCTGGGACTGCTGAGGGCAGGAGTCTCCTCCTTCCATGTCTCACTCCCAGTCCTCAGGCATCTCTGGCGGCCCACATCCCCACGCAGGAGAAGCTGGCTTCTCTCGCTAGGCTCACCCCTCCTCTCTCTTCATGCCTACCTGCAGGGGTCTCCGCGGGGGGCTGCTCCTTCTGGGGCGGGGATGGGGTGGGCGAGGGCGCCGGAGAAGGTGCCGGTGAGGCTGGGGCTGCTGGCTCCTTCTCGTCACTGGCCCTGAACTTGCTCTGGCTCTTGTCCTCGGGCCCTGCGGCGCTGGGGCTCTCCTTTGCCTCCTCCTTCCTCCGAACCCGCCCTTTGGGGGATGCAGTGGTGCCTCGCGGGGACGGTGGCTTTGGAGGCAGAGTGTGGCCTGGCCCTGGGCTGGGGCAGGGGGAGGCAGGTCTGTGCCAGGATGTGGAGGGAGAGGATGGCCGGGCCTTGGATTTGGGGCTAAGAGAAAAGGGAAAAGGGAAGAGTTAGGAGACACACACACCCACATGCTGAGAACTTGTCCCTTCCTCTGGGAGGTGCCCCCTCCTCCAGCCTACATCAGCACCGCTCCCCCTTGCTCTCACAGAAACGCACCATTCCCTTTTAGATTATATACCCCAGTTTGTAATGACATATGTTTCTGTGGGATTGACTATTGTCTGTGCCCCACCAATAGCCTGTAAGTTTAATAAGAGAAAAAAACCACGCCTGGGTTAGCTCAGCAACGTGTCCTCAGCACCATGAGTGCTACCTCGAAGGTCCATTCATTCAGCAGGTTTTGTTGTTTTTAAGACAGAATTTGGCTGTCCCCCAGGCTGGAGTGCAGTGGCATGATCATACCTAGCTCACTGCAGCCTCGACCTCCTGGGCTCAAACAATCCTCCCCTTGGCCTCCCAAAGTGCTGGGATTACAGGCGTGAGGCACTACTCTTGCCTTCAGTAGGCATTCACGGAGTGGTTACCAGGCGCCAGGCACTGTTTTAGATGATGCGGTACTTCAGTAACCAAAATACTTACAAAAAAGAAAAAGAAAAAGGAAAAAAAGAAAACAATTTAAAAAAATGGAGGCTGGGCGAGGTGGCTCACACTCACACGTGTAATCCCAGCACTCTGGGAGGCCGAGACAGGTGGATCACCTGAGCTCAGGAGTTCGAGATAAGCCTGCACAACGTGGTGAAACCTCCCTCTACCAAAAAACACAAAAAATTAGCCGGGTGTGGTGGCGCGCCTGTAGTCCTAGCCACTTGGAAGGCTGAGGTGGGAGGATAGCTTGAGCCCGGGAGGTCGAGGCTGCAGTGAGCCGAGACTGTGTCGCTGCACTCCAGCCTGGGTGACAGAGGGAGACCCTGTCTCAAACAAACAAAAAAACAGAGAGAAATTTGCCCTCAAGGAAATTGCATTCTAGAGGTGGGATGCCCAATAAATATTTGTGAGTGATGAATAAATGACCCGGTGAGGGGCAGGGTCCCTCGCACCGCCCGCGCCCACCTGAGCTCTGAGGCGGCGCTGGCGGAGAGGCGGGTGCGCGGTGAGGCGGGCAGCGACTGGCGCTTCTTGAGGCTGCGCTCCCGGGCTAGGGCACTCTTCTCCTTCTCGTTTTCCCGCTCCTTGTCCTTCTTCTCCTTTTTCTGCACCTGGCAGGGAAGAAGGAACGGAAGAGGAGAGTAGAGGTCAGCAGCGCCCGCGTTCCCCAGTTCCAGGCTGCCTGTCCCACCTGCGCGGCCGCTCGAATCAGTCGAGCCACTCACCGGCGAGGCCTCCGGCCGGC